ATTGAGCTAGATAATTGGAGAAGATGAATAGTAGAAATGATATTGTGTATGAATTATGAGTTGTGAAAAGTTAGGTTTACAAATGGCTCCAAGAGGAGTATAATAGGGAAATAATGGGCCGGGCCGCTAATATGGGCCCGGTAGCCCAACTACATAAAAGACTAATCTAGTACATAGTTACATACAAATGACATATAAGCAGTACAATAATACAAATGATATCCGTAAGATGTGTGTGGGCCGCTGTTCGGGCCCAATAGTCGTGAGACTCGGGGGTCCGAGTCTATATACTCTATCGGTGGTTATACCAAGATTAATTAATGAGTGAAATAGATGAATGCAAAAAAATGAAACTTATCCACAAGATCACAAAGGTACGTACGTAAAGAGAAGCACAATGGAGTGTAATGATTTTTTAATTTGGTACTAAACTAGTAGTAGAATTAATATAAGTGATTAGCAGCTGGTCGATCGGTGTGGTACCGTGAATATTAGTTTTATAAACTTGTTTCTATTTTGTTATTCTTTCTCTTGATGTAATTAGTTTATTTTTTTTGTTTTCACGTATGTATGCATGGAAGTTATGTTTAGATGTAGTGGGAGGTTTTTTAACCCTACTTGGTGTAACTGCCTCACCCCACTCCTTAGTAATATAAAGAAACGTGTAAGGGGTAGGTTGTGGTACTAAGAAAGGTTTTTCCTCCATTTAAAAAGAAAAGAAAAGATTGTGTTCATGTTCTTGGCATCATCACACGCATATGCATATGCAGTGTTCAAACAATGATCGTTTATAGTACTTTGGAAGATTGTTTTTAATTACATATTACAACACTTGGTATCAGAGCGCCACGGTTGGGACGATCAAATTGTCATGGCCTCAAGTTCATCCTCATCAGCGGGTGAAGGACAAGGAGACAATATGCACACCCATAATGAAGAAGACAATGTGAAGTCACAAGACAAGGAGGGGGCTGTCACACTGAGATATCCAATGCTGAGTAGAAGCAACTATGCAGCTTGGGCCATCAAGATGGAAGTATTCATGATGGCCCAAGGAGTGTGGGAAGCTGTGGAATCCAACGAACCAATAGAGAGAAGAAGAGACAAAATGGCGTTGGCTGCTATCTATCAAGGCATTAGTGAGGATACACTTCTTCAATTGGGTGCACAAAGAACTGCCAAAGAAGTTTGGAATATGTTAAAGACAATGAATCTGGGAGCAGAAAAAGTAAAAGAAGTTAGAACTCAAACACTATGGAGAGAGTTTGAGTCAATGAAGACGAATGATAAAGACACTGTTGATGATTTCTCAAGCAGGCTTCAAATCATTGTAAGTAAACTCAGGGGTCTAGGCAATATTGTGGAAGAAGAAAAGGTGGTAAAGAAACTGCTGAGGTCAACTTCACCTAAATTTCTACAAATTGCCTCTACCATAGAAGAATTTTGTGATCTAAAGATAAAAACTACTGAAGCAGTTATAGGCTCACTCAAATCCCATGAAGAAAGGCTACAAGGACACACAGAAAGTGAGGAAACTGTCCTGTTAACAAAGGCAGAGTAGAAAGCAAGAGAAGGGTCAAATTCACAAAATTTGATGGCAAAGGATCAAAGTAATACTAGAGGTAGAGGGAGAGGCCGTGGTAGAGGAAGAGGACGAGGGAGAAGTCAAACAAGTAATGAAGACCCTCAGCCTAAGAGAAAATTTGACAAAACAAAAATCCAGTGCTATAACTGTGGGAAGATGGGTCACTTTGCATCTGAATGTTACACAAATACTCAAGAAGAGGAGGCTAAGTTGGTAGAAGATGAGGAAGAACAACCAGTCTTAATGATGATAGAAACTTGTGAGTTAACCAAATCCCAAGAGGCATGTGAAAGGGATGCAAAGAAAGAGGAAAACTCAGGCTCATGGTGGTACCTAGATACTGGGGCTAGTAATCATATGACAGGTATGATACATCATTTCATTGACTTAGATACCTCACTACATGGAAAAGTAAGGTTTGGAGATGATTCAATGGTTAGTATACAAGGACTAGGATCTGTGTTGTTTCAATGCAAATCTGGAGAACACATGATACTATCTAATGTATACTATATTCCAAAACTGAGAAGCAACATAATTAGTCTGGGGCAACTTGATGAGTCAGGAGGTCAAGTCATGCTTAAAAATGGGGTTCTGAGTGTTTATGACAAAAGTAAGAGGCTCATAATCAGAGTTGACAGAAGGGAAAATAAATTATTCATTGTGTATCTGAGAACTGCAAAGAAAGCTTGTTTAATGGAAAGTATTGCAACCAAAGAGTGGCTTTGGCATGCCAGATATGGCCATCTAAGCTTTCAGGCTTTGAATAACCTGTCAAGTAAAGGTTTGGTAGAAGGCATGCCCAAAATAGGTTTGGTGAATCAAATTTGTGATGGCTGCATGATAGGAAAGCAACACAGAAGTCCATTCCCACTGAAGACATCCTATAGATCACAAGAAAAGCTAGAACTGGTGCATGGAGATCTATGTGGCCCAATTAAACCAATGACACCTGGAGGAAAGAGGTATTTCATGCTTTTAGTAGATGATTCTTCAAGATATATGTGGATTTCACTACTAAAAGAAAAGGGAGAAGCATTTGAGACATTTAAAATTATCAAGAACATAATGGAAGCTGATGCAGGGACCAAGCTCAAATGCCTAAGAACTGATAGGGGAGGGGAGTTCACATCTCATATCTTTATGAAGTTTTGTCAAGAAGAAGGCATGAAGAGACATTTGACTGCACCATACACTCCACAGCAGAATGGGGTAGTGGAAAGAAGGAATCAGACTGTTATGGAAATGACAAGGAGCATGATGAAGAGTAAACTATTACCATCAAAATATTGGGGAGAGGCAGTCACTACAGCAGTCTATATTCTGAATAGAGCCCCTACCAGAAGTCTAGAAGGAAAAACCCCTTATCAAGCTTGGTATGGGAGGATACCAAATGTAGGACATCTCAGGGTGTTTGGATGCTTAGCATATATCAAGGTAGTCAAACCAAATCTGCAGAAGCTGGAAGATAGAAGTGTAAGGGGAATTCTACTTGGGTATGAAGAAGGCACAAAAGCATACAGACTGTTGGATCCAACAAACAACAAAGTGTTGGTCAGCAGGGATGTAAAATTTGAAGAAGGAAAAGGATGGGAATGGAACAATAACCTGGAAGAAAAACAAGAGCAAGAAGGTGATATTTTTGCAGCTTGTGTACCAAAAGAAGGAAGAGAACTAAGCACAGAAGGTCCTATGCCAAATTTGACTGAGGAAGGGGGTGAAAACATCAATCAATCAACACATAACCCATCTCAAGATAACACTTCCAGTTCAAGTGAGGAGCCTCAGCATTTTAGGTCCTTACAGGAGATATATGATGCAACAAGAGAGATAACTGATGAGGCAAATCTATGCTTTCTATGTGTAGAAGAACCTGAGAACTACCTTGAAGCAGTAGAGAAAAGGGAATGGAGAGAAGCAATGTCTCTGGAACTTGATTCAATTCAGAAGAATGGAACTTGGGAATTAATTGATTTACCAAGAAATCACAAGGCAATAGGACTGAAGTGGGTGTATAAAGTCAAGAAGGACCCTGAGGGAAACATAGTAAAGCACAAAGCTCGCTTAGTGGCAAAAGGATACATTCAAAAGTATGGAGTGGACTATCAGGAGGTGTTTGCCCCAGTTGCTAGGATGGAAACAGTCAGGACAATCTTAGCTCTATCTGCACAAAAGGGATGGCTAGTTCACCACATGGATGTGAAAACAGCTTTCCTTAATGGAGAGCTAAAGGAAGAAGTGTATGTTATGCAGCCAGAGGGATATATTGATGAAAAACATCCAGGTAAGGTTCTAAAACTACACAAAGCTCTTTATGGTTTGAAGCAGGCTCCAAGGGCTTGGAATGAAAAGTTAGATGGATGTTTGAAGTCAATGAGATTCAAAAGATGTGTCTTTGAGCATGCTGTCTACATAAAACATACAGGTACACAAATCATAATTGTGGGAGTCTATGTTGATGACTTAATTCTTACTGGTTCATGCCCAGAACTCATTCAAAGTTTCAAATCAGACATGATGAATGAATTTGAGATGAGTGATTTGGGGCTGTTATGCTATTATTTGGGAATAGAGGTCATGCAGAATGAGGTAGGAATAAGTCTATGTCAATCAAGCTATGCTAGGAGGATCATAGATAAGATGGGAATGAAAGACTGTAATCCTTGTTGTATACCCATGGAATCTAGAAGCAAACTGAGTAAACTTGATGATGGAGATGTTGTAGATCAGACACTGTACAGAAGCTTAATTGGAAGCTTGAGATATTTAGTTCATACACGTCCTGATCTTGCATACTCTGTGGGAATAGTTAGCAGATATATGGAATCACCAACAGTTACACACATGAATGCAGTAAGACAAATAGTCAGATATATAAAAGGGACTGTTGGAATGGGATGCATGTATAAAAGAAGTCAAGGGAATGAAGCATTGATTGGATACTGTGATAGTGACATGGCTGGGGATATAGATGATAGAAAGAGTACAACAGGTATTCTATTCTTCTTAGGAGAAAATCCTATCACTTGGGTTTCTCAAAAACAAAGAATTGTTGCACTCTCCTCATGTGAGGCAGAGTATATAGCAGCTACTGGTGGAGCATGCCAAGGAATTTGGCTTAAGAGATTACTGGAAAGTTTGAAAGGAGAACTCAGAAGCAAGCCGATGCTAAAGGTGGATAACAAATCAGCTATTGCGTTAGCCAAAAATCCTGTACATCACGAAAGAAGTAAGCATATAGACACTCGTTTTCACTTCATCCGAGATTGTGTTGAGCAAGAAATCATAAGCGTTGAATATACCAAAACAGAGGTGCAGCTAGCTGACATCTTAACAAAGCCACTTGGAAAACAAAGATTTGCAGAATTAAGAGAAAAGGTAGGTGTGCAGGACGTGAAAACATGGAAACGAGTTTAAGGAGGTGAATATTAGTTTTATAAACTCGTTTCTATTTTGTTATTCTTTCTCTTGATGTAATTAGTTTATTTTTTTTTTGTTTTCACGTATGTATGCATGGAAGTTATGTTTAGATGTAGTGGGAGGTTTTTTAACCCTACTTGGTGCGGCCTCGAGTTGTTCACTCGAGGTCCATAGTGACCCGCAAAGTTGTGGACCCATTCGATTCAGGGAATTATGAGAATGAATATCTTCTGAGAAAATGTTCCCATACCATTCGAAGTTGTCGAATATAGTTTTATCCTCGGGGAACTGCCAGGTGGCGAAGTGATAGAGCTGGTCGAGGATAATGGCTGGGACAGGGATTTGGCGGGCATAGTCACTATTAAGATGGAACCCCACGGCGTTCCAGAAAATGGAGAATCAGGCAGATGAGGGACAATATCACCAACCCAGTCAAACGGGCCGTTGACCGCGGCAAGGGACTGGAAGAACGGGACTAGGGGGCCGGGAATCATGCATTCCCCGATTTGAAAATGGGGCAGGTCAACCATAGCGCCATGTCCGGAGTTGAGGACGACTTTGAGAATCATAAAATTCCAGAGCACGGCTATGTAAAGGTGGGAGACGATTGGGAGCCAGCCGGGGAATGAGCGGGTAAAACGGTCAGTGGAGTTCATCATCCGGTCGCAGATTCCGAGGACATGGAAAAGCATTTGGGCGTCAGGGACGAAGAGATTGACGGGGCCTCTGTGTTGGGTGTACATAGGGTTAGAGGAAAATATCTCAAGCATCGCAGGAACGCTGGTAACGGCGGCGCTTGGGGCTACGGGGATGAATCCCCTGGGATCGCGGTTGCGGCGGTCAGGATGATTGTTCCCGTGCATAGTGAAGTTTGATGGTGGTGAGATGAGGAGTAGAAAATCGAGTTAATACAATTTGTTGAGTTGCAGAAGAGATTTCTTTTGTTTTTATTTTAGAAAGAAAGAAATGTCCGATTAATTGATGAGCCGTTTGGTTGCGTGTAACATTAGGATGGAGATTTGCACTGTCATTAAATGATAAATAAAAGATTACAACGGTTCATTATTCGATAATATTAAGGGTCGCCTTTTATAATCGGGTAGATTCTATGGTACTCATAAGGTACCATACATTTGTCCACATGGACCAATGAGAATGTAACAGTTGAATTATTTAAATCTAAATTAAAAATGATAAAGTAGTGTGATCAAATCAAATGAATGATAGGTACGGTATCCCATTTTTTAGAAAGATACCTGAGTTGTCACCTTATAATTAACCTTTTCTATTCCATAGTTGTTCAATTTATCATTTCATTCCCTCCCATATTGAAATTCATAACTCGGCATGTTTGGATCGAGTGTTAGTAATGGAAGTGTTAGTAAGCTTTAGTTAGGGTTCAGAAGGGAAGTGTAAGTGTTAGACATAATTTTACCTTGTTTAGGAGAGTCAAATGAATGAAGTGTTAATAATGGAAATGTTAATAATTTTACCTTTAGCCAGAAGAAACGAGTTAGAAGAAGAGATGAAAAAGGCAGACCATCAGACATGCGGCAAGAGATTCGAAGTGATATGTCGAAACATTTTATATTTTGAAGGTAAATGAGAAGAGTAATAATTATCCAACACCTCAAAACACTCGAAATCGGGGTGTTAAAAAAGTGGACAATTGAGATGTTGGGAAGCAGTGGCGGATCCAGGATACAAAGTTATTGGGGACGGGGTAAACAAAAAATGCATCAAAAAAATTAATAAAGTATTAATGTAATAGTACAATAATTTTAACAAAATACATCACACTTGTTCGCGCCCAGTTTTAATCTTTTGGAAAAGATTCATTACAATTTCATTTGTAACAATTTCAAATTTCAATAAAAGTTTTAACAAAATACATCACAATTAACTTTTGTAATACATTAATACATTTTATTTAACTACCTAAAGTAACATATTATTTATATTTAGTGTTTCTAACATATTAAATGCCATTTTGTAATTTATAATTTCTAATAGTGTAAAACATTACATTAATAGATGGGTAACTATTTCGGAAACACACCAATTGAATTTAATCTAATTGATCTTTCTAAAATATTAAATCCGATTCATTTAAATAAATAACCCTATAATAAATTTTTAACATTATTATCAGTTTAGTAATACTATTTAGGAAGTTTTTACTTGGATTGTTTTCAATCCCAGACCAGATCAGACCTGACTAAATAGACCAGACCAGACTTAAACAGACCAGACTGGACTTAAATATACCATATCAGACTTTACTTGCGTAGTTATAAAATAAACAAAGACCAGAAATTTACCAGACCATATCAGATAAAACCAGACTTAAACAGATCAGATCATACTTAAACAGACTAGACCAGTAAATTGTAGTCCAAGTAAAAACATCTTTAATATTTATATTAGGGAAAAGGGACAAATAAGCCCATGTACTAATAAAAGAAAGGTCAAATAAGTCCTTATTTAGAAGGCTCTGTCCGACCGTCAAGATTTGAGGCGGTTTCCGGTGGAATTTTTTTGATAAAAGTTTTTGAGCATCTTATTCATTGAGTCTAGTTTTCTCGTACCTAATTTTATCTAACAATTCAATCGAAAAGACATTCAAATGAATTCTTGAAGATAACTGCGTTTTTAACTGCACAATTATCTTAAAGAGTTCATGTGAATGTCTTCGCGATGGAAGTTTTAGCTGAAATTTGGTATGCATAAACTAGACTGAATGAATAAGATGCTAAAAATATTTCATCAGATAATTCCTTTGGGAACCGCCCCAAATGAGGACAACCAAACATAACCTCCTAAATAAGGACTTGTTTGACCTTTTTTGTTAGTACGTGGGCTTATTTGCCCATTTTCCCTTTATATTAAATACGGAAAGTAAACAATACAATGAATATATATTGAGAATAAAGTCATAAAACAACTATACGGAGTACTAAACTAGCAAAGGCAACACGCCAACAAACCAATAAATTGGACAACACTTTGAATCTAACATCGATTTATTGATTAATTGATTTAAAATGAAAAAATAAAGTGAGAAGGTTTAAAGCTATTAATTAAAGTCAATAATAAAGTGAAAGCTAATAAGGCTAGCCTTCTGTGTTCCCGTGTTGCTGCTGTGTTCACCGATCTCTGATTTGCCCTCTTTGAGTCTAGCCTTCTGCACTCACGGGGTTTAGCCGCCTCTTCTCCTCTTACGTTGTCCCCAATTCCTCAATTTGCGAAGGGCTTGGCTCTTAGGCCGTTTGGGGCTTTGCGTGACCTTGTTTATTGGGAGCAATTCATTTTATTTATTGGGGACAACTACTTCTTTTTATTGGGGGCAATTACTTGGACCTTTAATTTTAATTAAAAACTTACAAAGGGTTAGTGGGATCTTATTGGGGGCAGCTATCCCCCTCATATGTGAGTAGATCCGCCCCTGTTGGGAAGGTTATTATTAACACTTCCTAACCTTTACTAACACTTGTTAACATCTCTTAATTTTTCTCCCAAACAAGTGTTAGTATCAAGACTTACTAACACTTCCATTACTAACGCTCCCTAACTCTCGATCCAAACAGGCCATTAGCTACCCGACTGAAATGCAACTAGTGACAGAAATGGCCATAGCCGCTGTAGAAGAGGCTCTGTCGATGTTGAACGACAAGCTGAAACTATACTGCCCTTGCGCGGTCGACGACCTGCTGGTTGAACTCACTTGGGTGAAGTGTTTTCTCGTCGACGGCCAACAAACGCCGGCGGGGAAGAAAAGAACCGATACCTGGTCACCTATCATTGAGCGTCTCGCCCTTTGTGCCTTAAATCTCCAGCCCACGGGCGGGTCGGTTCAACCCGGTCTTGAGCCTTTGGCCGTTTAAGGCCTCACCCAGAAACTCTGTAAACTCAGACAACGGTCAAGTTTGACGGTGCATTAAAACAGATTACTATTGTTAACGGTCAAGTTGTTGAATCATTAAGCTTCATTACCCTGAAGCCAGACGGTCTGTTGAAGACTTTAAAAGTTGGAGGATGTGGAGGTTACAAAAAAAGTGAGGTTATAACATTTTTAGCATAGATAGATACTTAACTATTTATATTATTACATTGGAGTACCTTAACTTTTAAATACATTAAATAAGCAGATCCGGTCCTGACATTTTGAGGACCCGGGACATATTACGAAAATGGGCCTTATGAATTTATAAAGGAGATTTTTTTTGTAAAAGCAAATTCATATTAATCAAATTACGACATGTCATAGTTCATACAAAAAATTACAAAAAAAAAGTCAATATAATGTTCACTCAAATCAGCCCTACTTTAACAAAATTATTTAAAGTTTTGGAAAATTTTAAATGAAGATAGAAAAGTTTGAAACTATTTTACCAGGCCTGCCTATTAGCTACTACCTCCGTTCCTATTATATCTTTCAAACAGGTTTGACACACAATTTAAGATAGTAGGTATTGTGTAGTGGAAAGTTGTACATAGGAGAGTAAAATGTGTAAGTAATGTTGTGAACCACAAATTGTTTACTAAAAAGGAAAAGTGGATGTTTTAATTGAAACGGACGAAAAAGGAAAGTTGGAAGTTTTAATAGGAACAGAGGAAGTATCAAGAAACACAACCAGTAATTTGTAATCAACAATTACTGTAATACAAAATAGATTCAGTGTTAACTATGGAGTATTTAAAAACATTAACGCTGAATGTGTGGTTAATGAATAGAACCCCAAAATAGCAAGATCTCGTAAAAGACATCTTCACAGATTTCGTATGTGGTAGACGAAGACAGAAGAATTAATCGAGAAATCTATTGTCTGAGGCGGAAATAGAAGAGAATTTCAGAGATATAAAAGAAGAAAATATTAATTAAGGTGTTCAACTTCTCTAGATTATCAAGATTCTAGAAAATAATTGATTTCTTTCAATTCTCTATGAGGCCAACTTTTCACCTTCTTTGATTTTCTCATTGACGCCAAAAGCCTAGCATTTTGGGCCTGCGTGCGTGACTTCCCCAACTCCCCATTGGATTATCTTATTAATTAATAAGGTCGTATCACTCATATGGAGATATGGAGTATTATATTAATATAATTAATATATTATACGTAGTACATATATATAGTACTACTACATCATATGAATTTATGGGCCCCACATAAAAGATGGGCCCTGGGCAGGTGCCCCTTTGCCCCCTTTTCAGGACCGGGCCTGTAAATAAGTACCATATCTATACGTGAATGTGTTAGCCGACAATAATATTCAAATTTTGTATCAATTTTTATGTGACGGCCAAAATTTCATAGTACCTTCGTAACACAAACATCTTTCCGTTTTGACTTTTCACGATCTTCTAAGTTGAATTTTGACTCAAAATATCTACATATCTATACTTATAAAATTCATAATAAATTAAAATTCAAATAATATGTTTTACAATGAGGTATATGAAATAAATTTTTAATCATAACATAATGTCATTTTTGAATAATCAATGGTCAAAATTTATAAAGTTTGAACCAAAAGAGTCAAACTGGAAAGATCTTTGTGTTACGGAAGTAGTACATAAAGTCTTGAGTGATGACATGATAGAACTAATGTGAAATGATCTTTAAGTATGGAATTTTGGCCACTGTGTACAAATTGTGGTTCGAAAATTTGAATAAAATTGATGGTTGAACCATTTACATGTAGTTATGGTACTGATTTTGTACGTTTAAGAGTTTAGGTACCAAAATGTAACAATACTAATTGAGAAGGTAGTGTTTATGTATTTCACCATATATTTATTTATTTGTAAAATATGACTCAATCTTTTTGTAAGATTTTAATCTCTTAAGTAAATTAAACAAACTTTACTTTTTGAAGAAAATTAATATTACTTGTGTTGTTATTAGGGAAAAATCTCGAAATAGGAATAAAAAAATTTAAAAATTTCAAAATATAACTGTCATATTTTTATTCCAAAAATAAGAGTAATTACTGCTAAATTTGAGAAATATTGTCATGTTAAAAATGTGGTATTGCCAAAACATGGCAGTAATTGATTCTATTTTGCGAATAGAAACATGATAGTCCTATTTTGGAATATATAAATACTTTTAGTTCTATTTAGGGTATAATTGCATTGGCATTATGGGGGTGTTTGGTTAGAAGCCTATTAGCCACTTTTTGGCTGATT